AGTAGAAGTGGAAAGCTCACCTTTAGGTGTATAGTATAGGAGTGGTTAGAATCGTTGATCCAAAGCAGCGGAACAATATAATACGGAGGATATTCTATCGGAACATTGCGCCCCGCGACTGCGACGAACGTTTTGCGAAACCTACGAGACGGTTCGTTGTCTAATGTACAAGGAGTTTCTGTTGGCGTCGCGCTATGGAGAAGCAACTCGTTGTTGGTGCTTCATTGGGCTTATTCATGGTTGCACGAGGCTGTCGTACTTGGAAAGGCCTTTTGCCCAAGACTGAGCGTTTAAAATCTAGGTAAGGCTTCTCTTCGCATTAGTGCTGGTAGCTGTCGACATATCTTTGCAACATCATTTCCAAGAAAGATGTTCCAGTGCACATTATGAGTCTTTGAATACAGAGTAAGTAACATCTCGTACTTGTTGCGCGTGGTGAGGAGTGAGTGACCCGACTCACGGCTTGATTGGCGTGTCCATTCGGCATCGTACGACGACCATGAGCAACTACCCCGGCCTCTTTCCCAATCAGGAAGACAGTCAGCGGGAGCTTCGGATGTCACATACATACATTCAGAAGTCTTGAGCTCTTTTTCTTCTTTTCGTTTACAGCCTACCTCCAGCATCATGCTTTTCATCTTGATACTCGCGGCTGCACTCGGTGCCATCGCGCACACCGTCCCAAACGGATGTCCGCGCAAGGTGGGTGCGGAAGGCGTACGGGTTCGCATACCTCCAACGTTCAATACCACCGATTATGCCCATCACGGCAGATCATGGCAACCACCACCTGTCGGGTTCTACTTCCAACCATGGTCGATGATTCTCGCATCAAACCCTCAGTATGCGGCGATGCGGAACGTACAATACGACCCGACACCGATCGATCCCTCTGAGCCCACTGGGCTTGTAAATGACCTCTTCTCATTCCAATTCCCAGGCAATGACACAATCATTACAACATATGGCGTCGATACACCGCATCCCAGCTTGCCCGCAGTGCTAGACTTTGCAGGGACTGGAATTTTGGTCGGAGCCACGTGCCAATACAGCATCTTGGTTTGGGGCTGCGACGCGAACAGAGTCCCATACTACGCGAGCTATTCGACGGCAGTGGAGTTCACCCAAACGCCCCCGGGTATCGACCTGATGAGTACAAGTGATCAAGGACCTGATCAGGAAACGATCGATGCTGTTTTGAAGGCGTTGAAGAAGCTGGGAAACGAGGAGATCACCAAGTATGTTGCAGCGTTGGAGAAGATGGTGCAGGATGGGGGCAGAAGAGGCATGCCCAGGGTAAGTGTTTGTGTGCTCTTTGCTGGCACCTACTAACGAAATACTTTAGGCTACATGCGACGAGTATTGCAAGACGAATCAAGGCTTGATCGGGATCGAAGGCTGAACGTTGTGGAATTGAGTTGACGAGGTCGTGTTCGAATGCCCTTGCTGCAACGGATGACTGCTTATGCTGTGTCTGGGCTTCGAACGGGCGCATTCCTATAGTCGAGGATCTACGAGAAGATGTATGTAGTGCTGTAGAATGACGATGTAGAGGTTCTGGACATTTGATCCTGCAGTATGTTGCTTGGTGTTACCGGTGTCGTGTGCCTGCCGTTCAGTCCCAGTCGCGTGTGTGGAAGTCGCGACCGACGCAGGGCATCAGCGTTCAGCAGTCGCTCCTCCGCTGTGGGTCGCGCCAAGGCCGCCCGGCAGTAGCGCCAAAAAAGTTCAGAACTGGTAGATGCAGGCAGCGCAAACCTCGACGAACACCGACGCGACCACGTTTCGTAGATTCGAATCAAACTCCGACACGATGGCGAAGCGCAAACTCAACGCACACGACGTGCCAGAGGTGACATCGAGCGATGAGTCGCAATCCGAGCCCCGCAGCTCGCCCGAGCCCGCGACATCCACCACAATTGCGCCTGCGATTGCAACCGCTGCCACACCGAAGAAGAAGAAGAGCTCTAAGTCAAAACCTGCCGCTGAGCCAGTCCCTATAGTCGCCTCATTCGCCGAACTTCAACTCGAGCCCCGTCTTCTAAGAGCGATCCGCGACCTAAAATGGGCATCACCAACGGCAGTACAGTCCCAAGGCATACCGTTGATACTGGAGGGACGCGACGTCCTTGCGCGTTCGGGGACAGGTACTGGAAAGACGGGAGCCTACCTTCTCCCCATCCTCCATAAGACGTTGCAACAGAAAGGCCAATCGCTCATCCTGGCGCCCACTAAGGAACTCTGCTCACAAATCGCGACAGTCGCGAAATCGCTCTCACAACACTGTGGACAATCGATTCGGGTCCGCAACATCGCTGGCAAGGAATCGGATGTCGTCATCAAGGCAGCACTCGCGGACAAACCAGAGATCGTCGTCGCAACACCAGCGAGGGCATGGGCAAACATCAACAGCTCTGCCATGGCAGTCAGCGACATCAAGACGCTTGTCGTAGACGAGGGTGATCTGATCAACGGTTACGGGTTCGCAGACGACATGGAGAACATCGCCCGGGAGATTCCTGTTGGAGTCCAGAAGATCGTCCTTTCAGCCACCCTCTCAACTGACGTTGAGTCACTCGGCAGCCTGCTCTGCACAGATCCAGTTGTACTGAAGCTACAAGACCTCGACAAGGACTCGCAGAAGGTCAAGCAATACGTTCTGAAGGTGGCGGAGGACGATAAGTTTCTGCTGCTTTTCGCCATGATGAAACTCAATCTGGTCCATGGAAAGAGGTAAGAAGCGCCGGCATGAACTACATTTGAGACAACGCTGACTTCGTATCTCCAGTATCGTCTTCGTTGGCGACGTCGACCGATCATACCGCGTCAAACTCTTCCTCGAGCAATTCGGCATCAAGGCGATCGTACTCAACTCCGAACTGCCACTGGCGTCCCGAACACACATTGTGGAGGAGTTCAACAAAGATCTCTATAAGATCCTCATTGCTTCGGACGAAACCGACGTCGTTGGCGTGCAAGACGAGTCGCGACCAAAGAAGAAAGCGAAGAAGGACAAGGAGACCGACTCCGGCGTCTCTCGCGGCATCGACTTCCTGAACGTCAGCTGTATAATCAACTTCGACTTCCCCGGGAACTACAAATCGTACTTCCATCGAATTGGACGAACAGCACGAGCCGGCAAGTCTGGCACGGCCATTTCGTTCATCATCCCGAAGGAGAAATACCGCAAGCATAAGCCGACTACATTTGCGGGATGTGAACACGATGAAGAAGTTCTCAAGAAGGTTGAGCAGCACCAAGAAGAGGGCCAAAAGCTGGAGGATTACCAATTCGACATGAAACGATTAGAGCCATTCCGATACCGGTTCGCAGATGCCCTGAAGTCGGTGACCAGGATCGCCATCCGCGAGGCACGTATCAAGGAAATCCACATGGAGCTGGCCAAGTCGCAGAAGCTGTCCCGATACGTAAGTTCGCCCGCATCATTCATTGCTGGCTCATCCTAACATCGTAACAGTTTGAAGAGAACCCTGAAGCGCTCGCGCATCTCCGCCACGACCAGACTCTCAACCATCCCGCGAGGATACAACCCCACTTGCGGCACATTCCCGATTATCTCCTACCAGGTGGGAAGAAGCCGCAGGATGTTGGCTTTGTCGGCCTGAACATACCACGGGCGAAGAAGCAATATACCAAGGGCAAGGGCAGGAAAGTGGTACGAAGGAATGGCAAGGTCGATCCTTTGAAGACATTCAATGCGAGGGGTAAAGGAAGGAAATGAGGCATTACGTCCTCGACCAGCTCTCTCTGAATGTCAGTCGTAGACTTGCACCAGATCTATGACAAAACACATCAGCGAGCTTTCTTTCCAACGATCGTGCCATTTATAACTCAGCCAGTCGTGTCCATGTGTTCATCGCTCAGTACTTCTCATCTCATCTGCGAATATTATGATGGAAAGACCCAGCAAGATGCTACTTAGGTAGGGCCAAAGGTTTGGGCAAGTGGTCAGACTTCTGCTCGGAGCTTGGATCTTTGTTGCTTTTGTGGTGCACTTGGGCAAAGCTACAATTAAATTTCGCGTCAATCGTGCAGACTTCATATAGGTGCGTGATAGTTGTGTTGCTTAATGTTGATGACATGCTGGGCAGGGTGGTGCGGACCACCCAATCCATCGCGCGTGACCCAAGTCGCCTTCCGCTTCATGATCACCCCTCCATGCATGAACACTCTTGCGCACTCACGAGCTATCGACGAGCGCATTGCCGATGTCATCAGTACGATCACGACCTAAATTGACCGCCCATGGAGTTGCATCCAGGATAGAGACCTCGCGTCCACCGACGATGGCAGCTACACGACGCGCCCTTTCGTAGCGCTCGGCCCCGTGGCTGGGTAGTCGCGCTCGATGGCCCATCGCATCTCGAACAATCGCATCGTACGATGTGCGATATATGGGAGACTATGCGACCGTCTAACGCGAGACACGATATAGAGCTTGTCCACTGTCATATAGGATACCTCAGCCTCGAATACACCCGAATCGCGAAACTCCCGCATACGCTCCGATTGAACATTCTCCTCGGAGAACGGCGTATATCGTGCTCTGGTTAGACATAGGAGAACAGGGGAGACGATACTGTCACATGCATCATCCCGTGCAAGACTATCACAAGCTCGAGTCGCGCGATCAGTGAAGGCGCAGATGAAAGAATGAGATGGTGTTCAATTTGGTCGGATAACGTATTTAATAGTGGCAAACGCCGAACGGAACCCACAAGGTCGCAACGCCTCCCACCAACACCGGTCCTCGAATCGCGCTATCATTACTTCGGCCGTTAGGTTCATAATCACTGGGATAACTGAAAAGTCGGAAGATCGATGCGTGCATCTGACAAGAAAACGTATTTGTTGCTTGGAAGGCAGGGGACATCAAGGTCGTACTCCAGAGCACACCACGTGGCGGCATAGCGATTGCATGTGCCAGTAGTATGCGCGATACTCTAGGGCGACCCGGTATCGCACACGTACCGTTCTGATTAGTCGTCCTCGTCGGTCCAATACTGTAGGAGTTTGCTCAGGTGGTGGGGCTGAACCCTCCCAACATCCTTCACTTTGACATTCATCTCGATCGGGTATGTCTTGCCAAATCGTATGCGCGACTCTCGTCGTATCGTAATCGAAGAGTCGACCGCTTCGACTTCGATAGGGTCCTTCCACATCCCGCTCTCGTACTCTCCAGGTAAATAACAGGAAGCTGGGTCTGTTCCAGAAAGGTAGAGGATCGTATGTTCGGCCGGGTTGCAGCCATCTTTGAGGGCGCCACGACCAGAGTAAGTGCCAATGCCACTGGCATAGTTAATAAGCAGCCTCTGCAATCTTCCGTCATATCTTACCACGCTTTTACAAAGCCTCGTTTTACCTTAACTACGACAAAACGGCGGATGTTCGTATGGGCCCTTTCATTGAAGCGGACCACAGTGTATGCGTCGTCATTTGCGCGGACTTGTGCGGTTGCGCCTGCAGCCTCTGTGTACAGCGTAGCGAAGACCCTGCCAACTACGAAGAATGTTTGAGCCTCTTGGCCCGTTCGCATTCGATAGCCTGGGGTCTGTCAGATCATGTGATGGCTCGAGTGGATGTGGGAAACCTACTCGAGTCCAGCAGATCATACCATCCGGTGTGTGGCGTGCCTGAAATGAAGTCCGGCATTACGCGGGCCTGTGGCGGAGCTACAAAAACATCCAATTAGGCGTTATGCATGCCATGCATGGAATACCACGACATACCAGGTTCAGGCATCTGCACCGTGTTTGAGCCATTGTCTGGCTGGTATACTGAGTCCTGTCTGGTAGGTACTGGTTGAACGGGAGTGTACACTTGGTCGTTTGCTGATTGCGCTTGTTTAGACCAATGATAAACAGGACGCCCTAGCAGTGTCAGTGGTCTAAAACGTTCTCAGACCATATTCCTGGAACTCACTGTATTCGTCGTACGTCACATAATAGTAGTCTTGGTACGTATCGCTCCACACCCAAGTGTAGGTATTGGTGGCCATATCACCCGTGACGGCTGGGTAGCAGCGCCGGTTTTAGGTTGCTAACGACACGATAGCTACGCGGGGAGCATGCAATGATTTGACAAGCTGGTCAAATGTATACGCGAGAGAAATGCCTGATGAGGGGACAAGTTACTTTGACGGTCGGTGTCTTACACTGACTTTATATTCGGAAGCAGTAGCTGGGCGTGTCAAGTGATGCGGCTCTGCTGTCTCGACAAGGTCAATCAGGAGGGTGTGCTGCGTACTACGCAAAAGCATGTTCATCGTTCACCACCTCCACATCTTTCTGCATATGCGGTTGATGTTCTCCCGCCTGCGCGTCGAGCATCTGGGTTGTGGACATGCGGACATCATTTGGATGTACGACCAACCCATGCATTACACCGCTTATGCAGTATTGTAAACCGGGGAGCGGGCGACCCCGCGCACATCCGATACGACATTCCGATGTTGTCAGCCCGACGCCACCACCCCGATACAACCGTCCGTGCGACTCTTCGTTGGTTTTATGATAATATCCGTGCGACAAACAAATCGGGTTCGTACATGCTTCCAGCTCCCGATTTGTCTCGCAGACGATGACCGACCAGCCCGCTCCAGCTCCATGTCGTGCGCAAAACCTTGGATCATCAACACGCTTGTCTGCGGCTGGCTCATGTGTCAGGTCTCCCCTTATCTGCCGGGGAACGCCAGATGACGGCCACGTTTGCCAATTTCCGTCCTTGAATTCTGGCTGTTCATGCCGCGTCTTATAGGGCCTGATGACTGGAATGTGACAAGGGGACTCCTGGACAGCCAGCGCGAGCTATTTCCAGTGTTATGCAAGGAGAGCAGCATCATTCTTGTTTCGAACATTACTGGATTGCTTTCCCGCGAAGAGCGGTGCTGATCAGCCTTTGAATGCCATGGAGTATCAACGTTCCGCAAAAGACGAAAGAGTAGGAGTGTCGTATTCTGATCTTATTATGTCGCAGATTCGGCAGCGCTTGGAAGAGATAGCCGACTCCCAAATACGAATATCATCAGCAAGAAAACAATTATTAGTCAAACGCGAAAGGCTAAGGACCAACAGCCGCGTAGTCCAACTGAAGAGGGTCGATGCTGGAGATGCGGAAGCCGCGTTCATGAGCCGAATAAGAGAGTTCCTCAACGACCACCCGGGCGAACTCTCAAGTCTGCTTCAAGACGCATACGAAAAGGTGGAAAAAGCCCGCGATGATCTAGGGGAAACAGAACAGAACTATCTGGAAGATGAGAGCGATTTGACTGGCGCCGAGTGGATGTTCATGGACCAAGAAGACCGATTCTATCAGTGGGATATCCACAGCATCCTCCCCGACGAAAACAACGCAGACACTACCTTTACAATAGGGAACTTGAGTGAAACTATTCCACATACTTCAGCTTATAGTACACCCCTACCTTCGACAGGATCGCCATCCCCGGACCAGTTCTTACCACCTCCACCTCCACCGCCTCCTCCACCTCCTACGCATCGTTATTTTACCTCGTACGACCCGGTTAACCTTTCTTCAGCGACCGATATTGATCAAGGATATGATACTATGATGGCCGAGGTGAATACATTGAAGAGAGAGTTTGAGCAAATACGCCACAAGCAAGCCTGCGACCTCGAGTGGAGGGACGAGCAGGACGTATACCTTCCTGGAATCGACGTCGTTTCTGATAACAGCTCCAAAGATGGTGCGAGTGGGAGCGGTGATATCGTATACGAGATCTTCATTCTCGAAGCGAGAGCTCAGCGTTTGAAAGCCGAAGCGATGATACAGGGTTTGGACACATCAATGTTGACTAGACGATATTCAGATCCAGCACATTCGATCAGGCCCGCACCAACATGCGCGACTCCCATGAGACGAACACAAACGGAAATTGCCCCTTCCTCGTTACGTGATCAACCCACGGTGAAGCAAAAAATCCGGGAATGGTCGCTATTTCATCTCAAAGAAAGCGCGGTCCATAAGCAAGTATATCTCAATACACTGCAAGAGCATGGAGTATCAAGTCCTTCAGAAGGTGATTGGAAAGCTCGAGCTACACAATATTGGAATGTCGACAGCTCTGTCGAGAGCAGAGAAGGCAGCGAGCAGGATGACTCTTCCGCCAACGGGTCGGAGCACGAGCCTCGCTCCTGCCGTGAAATGAGCGTTAGGCAAGGCGTGGCTTCTCCGTCTTCAAGTTGGTATCTCCAAGAAGAAGATAGCATACGCGATACCGACCAAGCTATAGCCATGTCAGAGCCTTACGAATCACGGGAGATGCTACACGAAGAACGTAACGCTGTGTTGCGAGAATCTTCAACGTTTGTGCCATCATCTCATCATCAGGCGATGGCAAATGCGGATATCGACAATGAACACCGAATGACAAGTTCTACCGCGGAAACTTCTCATGACCAGCAAGAGAAGGCTAGAAAATGCATCGGAGCAAACGCCCTCTCACTCCAGACCCCAGATATCTGTCCTACAAAGATCGGAGACGCAGCAGAACGGAAGGACAGCGTCCAGACATCGAGCGTCACTACTCATCCTGATCATGCGACGGCAAGGAGCCATCACAACGAGATCAAGGCGCATCATGCAGCGGCAAAATATATCGCAGTTGAGATGAACACAGGAGCAGCAACATCGGATGAGGGTGGCACCCAATCGCAGCATACTCTATTATCCGCCGTACACCCAACACTCTCTCCAACCCGTGCTCGGGAAACGGATGTTCATGATCCGTCGGACTTCGGCGGCGCAGTCCAACCCGCTTCATCAGCGCCTTGTACACAGCCTCCAATACCCTCGGCGGTCGTCGATGAGACAAGCACGCAACTACCCGACAATTCCGCCACCCCTGACTCTCGTCCAATCTCGCAAGGACGCAGACATACGACGAGTTGGCTACGAAACTTGCTACCCACATACAAGAGCAAGCGAAGTAAGAGTACCTCTTCTATTGGGGGTCACCACCCACTGGCTCGATTTGGGAAACACCCGGTCGCGTAATTCGGTCGTCTATTTTCCTTGTGCCGAGTGGTTCATGGGGGTTCCATCATCTTACAAGCGCATGTTATCACATTGTCCTAATATTGTATAGTCTAACGAATCATGACGGTAATAGTAAGTTTTTCATTTCCGCGTATGACTCTCGGAACGAATTTCCCGGATTGCAAGGTTCTTTGACAGGGCGGCGGTCGGGCGTTGTATCATCTTATTTGGTATTCAAATGCAGCATTAGGCTTACCGGAGCATATCGTTCCATTCGATCCGAGACCCCATGAAACGTCAGCTCAACCACGTTGCTAAGCAGCTGAGGGGGACAGGTGGTCGATCACCCCACTACTAGCAAGCCCCAAGGTTGCGTTCTGTAACCACCGTGTCGGGTTCAGCTCGATATGTCCCACTCTCACGGTGATCAGCAGGACGCCCGCTTGCGGTATGTGTGAGGTGTCTGGATCTGACCTGATGTCAGCACATCGGATCCCGAAGATAAGGCTACCGTCGTTCTTTCGGCCCGATAGAAAGACAAGTGCCGGTATCACAAACCCGGCGGGTACACCACATACATTACCGATGATCGCCAACCGCGCGGTAAGCTCAATTTGGCAGGAGCTGCTAAAGCTCATCAATGGCGTATTGATAGGTATCGTATCCTAGCATGAGCTTCGGGAGTGACATGTGATTCCTATCGGCGGTGACATGCGATCAGATGGCACGGCAAACGCGTAGCTTGCTCCCGTTTGTCATTTGTCCATTAAGTCAAACGCTGGGTTAAGATAGGGAGGAGGACGACACGGCATCGCTTGATGCTTCGCCCCAGGCCCCGTCAATGGAGTTCTATCCCAACGGCCCGCCGGACCCCACTTGACCCACCGCGGCATGCAAGAGGACGCCTAGCTCCCGTCTTACACGCTGCTCTAGCGACTGCCTGAACCCCAAGACCAAACCAGCGCATGCAGCTGGTAAGGCTGGAACTGCCACCCGACCCACTCGTTGTGGAAAGACTTACTCTTCACGGCGCAAAGCAAAACGCCATGTATGAGGAACCGTACGCATGACCATAGCTGCACGAAGCTGCAGAATGCGCCAGCTGTTTTGCTACCCGCGCGCTGCCGTATAACCGGTTTCTGCCCTATGACCCCGCGCGACGTGGGCACAAAGTCGCCTATTGCCTTGTTATCCCGAGGTCAGATTGGCCCTACGTTGCGTCTTGACAACTGAGCACGACCAGGTCTTACCACCACGTATTTGCTTATTTTGCCGTAATTGGCCACATGAGCCTGATGGCGTAGGCAAATGAGATAGTCTGCGACAGGCGAGTGAGGCAGCTATCGCACTAACGAGATGACAGTAATACATGCGTCTCCCCGCACGGTCGATTGGATGTTGTTCTCGTGGCAATAAGCCCGTCCAGACTGACCAATCATCACCGCGCTAAGGCATCAATATCGGTGAGTGACGCGACACGGCTGGAGATACGGCTGAATGGGCTTCGAAGCCTGCTGGCCGATAGTGCAGTGACCAAAAATCTGAGATCTGTTGGCTAGTAGCTGCGTATTGTTCGTGAAAGGGATGAAGACTGGAACGTGACATGGGTGAAAGGGTCAATATCCGATAGGGACACTGATACGAGCGCGGCCGAAAGGTATGCGGCTCTGCTATCGATAATTGATTGGTGGAAGAGATGTACAAGGAAAGTATGCCTGCAATGCACGTGTGACTCATGGCCAGATGGACTTGCAGGAGGCTTGCAGGATGTATGCATGCTGTCAAGGCATACCAGATGCGCATACGTGCGCTAGGTAGAGGCTGTAAGTATTCATATCGCGGCTGGAGTTACTTGGATGTATTGAGCAGAGAGCTGTTTGTGTACGATGAGAATTGCAGTGATAATTGAACAGGAACGTGCTGTTCGTAGGAAAGGGTTTTGAAACCCAATGCAATTGCTCTGACATCCTGAGAATGCAAGCATGACCATCCTAGCGCCGTTCTCAACTATGGCTCATTGGGCCATTATGAATCAGTGCTGGTTATCGTACGCCGCTGTTGGAATTGGGTGGTACTTTGATGTGTTGGGTGTCTAGTTGTGAAAGCTGTTCCGAAAGGTTTGGAAAGACTTCAGGAGTGGAGAAGGTGGAAGACCGAGGCACCTGCCATGATTTGTCGAAGGCGCAGCCCGGGGGACACGCACCATGATATCTGAGACGCTGGGGATTCTGCATGTCGTTCTCAAATTCATCCGAGCCTTGATGGTCTGCGTGATTGTGGCCGAGAGAATCATGTGGCCATTCGTTGAGTATCGATGTTGCCCAGTGCCACAGGGTAGACAACTCTCCCACTCCAGCAATATACCTTACGAGAGTGTAAATTTCATGTGGAGAAACACGAAGTTGGTGTAGCATCCATCGGTTCACTCGATCTGGCGTGTTTTCGAAGTTTACAAGGTAGTCGCTGAGGATAGCTCGAGTCTCTTCGCTTTCGTCTAGCAGGAGCAAAGGATTGCCTTCCTCCAGACCCGGGTTCACGGGGAGATCATCGATCACTTCTGATGTAGGGTCAGGATTATCGATGTCGATACTTTCTGCAAGGAAGATGTCCTCTTCAGGGGTGTCTCTGGACATAATATTCCTTCCAGATGACTCAATCTGACCCGTAGCCCAGATGCCAATGTAGCTCAGCGTCTCCATCCAGTCGTTAGCGTTGGCGCTTCTATTTGTAGAGATGGAATTGCGAAGCTTCGGGCGGTCGACTGATTCTAGCGATGCTGTCCTAGTGTGGTAGCCTTGACTCTTTTGCTGGATTTGAGGCTTGAGCTTTAAATTGAGTTCCCCAGCATCTCTTGGTAATTCACCGATACCGACATTCTCACCGATCAGTGTACCATGTAGCCGCTCAACAGACGCTCCAGAGGACGATTCAAACTCTATCTCAGATTGCTCCTGTTCCTCTGTTCTGGTAGTGGACGCTATATCAAAACTGAAGATCTTGTCGAAACTCTCCTCGATCCTTGTATATTGGTCTATCAGCTTGTGTTCTTCCGCACCAAGCGAGATTTCGAGTGGCTCGTAATCCGATTCAACAGGCCCAACCTGATCTCTAGCTGCCTGCGCTGCTTCGAAGAGTGTGAGCATAGCGGGATCGATGGATGAAGCACTTTCGCTCATTTTCTTGCGTATACAATCGAAGAGCAGCATGTCACACTGCGATACATGCTCCCTTAGTCTGTGGAGTTTCTTTCGTCTCTCCTGAACAGCAAGACGCAACGCAGTCACCTCTCTCTGCTGTGCGGCAAATTCGGATAGCTCGTTGATAAAGTTGGTGTAAAGTCGTAGGGCCGCCTGGTTTAGATGTTCATCCGCCTCAACAGTCTTGTTAAACGGAGTAGGAGGTCGAGGAGCCCGCTTTGGAGGTGGTGGAGGAGGAGCAGGTAACGTCAAAGCTGGGGTGAATGAACGGGATTGATCTAATGCGTCTTTGCTCTCATCGTAGATGTTGTTTGTCGTCGGACGAATGCGCCGCGGCCGCGCATGCGTCCTTTGATCTTCAGCATGAGGTTCTTCCATCGGTCTCAGTTCCGAGAGGAAGCGTACTTTCTTGAGAATGCCATTTCGAGCTTTGCAGGCTGGACATGAAGCTAAAGGCTCCGGTATTAACTTTGCTTGCACTGTCTCGTGTTTCCCGCCGATCTGGCCAGCGGCAGGCGCATCGGCTCCCGCTTCGTTAATGCTATTCAGTGCATCGATCTCGAGAGGTGGGCGAAATTCGATGTTGTCAATTGGGACAGTCTTTGGAAGTCAGCTCCTAGGTTGATGGGAGTCCATGGCATAATGTGAAGCCACCTACGAGATCGGACCACGTCGGCATTGCAGCTGTACGGCGGATGCGCGCTTCTTGCCCCTATGAAATATGGAACATACGAGAGCGCATTTGCGGTCCTATGCTCTAAGAACAACAATATGTCTCGCCCTCCCTGGTTTGCGATGAAAGCTAAGAGATGTCAACGTAGTTGACGACATTGCGTGATTGACTGCTCCCAGGCCCTAGTGCAAGACGCGATCAAGCGAGGCGCGTTGGCTACCATGCAGCCAACTTTATTTCGCCCCACTAGACCCACCTTTGTAATCTTTCGCATGCCCGCTAGTCAAGGCTCGCCCATACTGTATGCACCCACAGCTACTCATTCGTCTTCGTATGGAATCTGTCACATGTTTGCATCCGCTGCACGATTACCACACCCAGCCTGGGGTAGCCTGTCTCGGCGAAGAGCCTCTTTCTCGATCTGCGATGCCCCGCTCCGTGAACTCTGATGTTTTAAACTACTCGGACCCTCCTTGATTGCGCTCGAGTCAACAACCCGCCATGATGTAGCTATGCCCGACTACTACGGGCCTTGGATATGGTCGAAAGAGCATCAACGTCATTATGCCTTTCTTTACGCTGCCGACAACAGTAGAATCCTGGATACCTTATGGGAAGCTCAACATCTAGACGCTAACACTACCGCGACGACGCCAGCTACACAGCTTTACGGGGACGACCGAAGGTAAGACCAAGCGATGTCTCAGCGCCTCGGCGAGAAATGTCTAATCCAAGGACAGTGCACCTCGTAACCTACCTTCGATACCTACTTCAGGATCAAGCTATCCTCAAACAAGCTACTCGTCCACTTCGCCACTCCCGCAACCGCATCCATCTTCACGAGAAAACTACGTAGCGGCACCATCGTCATTATCTGCATCATATGCTCATCCTCAAGGATCATATGCTGTTGCACCGCCAACATCATCTGTTTTCGCTTCGGCTCAAGGGAGCTATGGAACTGCGCCATTAGCATCATCGTCCTCAGCTGCCCACTCTGCTCATCATTCGTATCCACAAACGACGTCCAACGGCTCGCAATATATATCCACCGCCCCTGACTATGGCGCAATCGGGCGAGCGGCAAACAATCAGCGCTATCATCTGCCAGGTGATCAAAGGAGGGTAGATGGGCAAGCGAGTCTTGTCACAGGAGGACCCAGCGGTCATGACACTTCGTACGGTCCATTAGATAGCCATTCTATAGCCTCGGCCCAGGCTTCTGTCACAACTGCTTCAGGATCACCATATCTACATCAGAATCAGCAAACTCAATCTGGCTTTCCTTTTACATCAGCATCAGCGGGACAACCGCAACATACAACACCACATATGACGCGATCCCAGTCGGCTCAATACCCAGCACCTCGTCGACCAGTAACATCTCTTCCTTATGACGTGCAATCTACCATACGAAGTCTTGATCGAAGGTATATTCAGACAGATCCGAATGAAGCCAGCAATCAGGAGTCGCTCGATCCACGTGAGCATCGCAGCATAGCCATGGTCGGATCTTTTAGCTAACGAATGCAGGCTACCGTCGAGTTGTCAAGCATCACCACGCTAGTTTCTTTGTGCTTGGTCGAGTAAGGCCCTCTCTTTGGTTAATCCACCAACACCACTGATCAGACGCCAAGGTTTTCAAGATGCTCTGGACGGAACCTGCAGGTCAAAGCAATCCAGGCAGAACTCGCAATTCCACGCACTTCAGCACCGTCCTTTACGGCCAAACGGCTTTCAGTGAGATACGCAGATTCGTCGTTGTGCGAAATAAGGGCGACTTCAGCCAGTGCATGTAGGTCTTTTTGATGGATAGTGATTACTGTTCTTCGAACTTCGAGCTTCACAGCTTACGATTCATACAGTCCAATCCAAACCTACAAAGGCCAAGGCGCCACCAAGCCAGGCCTCGTCATGGACGATCACGGTGTTATCCACACCTCATCCTTGGCCCCGAATTTGCTACCAGGCGAAAATCTGACGAAATACTCAGTGCAGGTTCAGCCCTTCAAAGACGAACGGCTAGAGGCAGCAAGTCGCGTCAATTACGGAAAGGCATATGCTGTTGAACACAACGTCAAAGTCCTCGAAGTTGGCATGATACTAGAAGGTCACAGGTACTTGATTCAGCAATATTTCGACAGTGCAATGCAGAGCTAGTAGCCTGTTGCAATGGGCTACGTATGCGCGAATCGTCGCCTTTGTTTTCGTTTCATATGCTTTTCGGTCAAACAGTACTGCAACATACGCAGGCTTCCAAGACCACTTCTAGTACCTTCTCCCCCACTTGTTCCTGATTTATTGTCTGTCCCGCCAGACTGCCACATCATGTGCAGTAACCTTTTGCGCTTCTGGCACGTCTAGCACACCTGCGATCTACTTTACGACTCTCGTCTTTATGGAACCTTAACGCGTAACGGATTCCCTTTCGCACAGTTTGTGGCTTTGTTCTTCGGGTTCACAGTACATCAATCTCTTCGCGATCACGTTCAAGTAAAGATTAGTTATGCACTATTACCGTTACTGTATGCTCATCTCATAATCAATGCTACTATATTATATAACCCCAATGTCTGATGAGCATCCTAAGTCGCAACCTTCTTGATCTGATTTCATCGAAATGTCGTCGCCACGCAACGCCAAACTATGTAGGTCAGAATGGATCAAACCAAGAAATCCCGGATCGAACTTCATGATGACATCAAAGGAGTAGGGCATGATGTTTGAGTCATTTCACACATTCACGTTGAGGGAACATGTCTCTCTACCTTACAGCAAGTGCTAAATGACTTGACTCAACTGTGAAGATTTTCTAGGTGACTAATACTACTGAAAACACTGGCAGGGTCTTCCATGACATGGCAGCGAGAAGAAGCGTTCGAGTCATCTAAACAGCATCATGAGAGGAAATTCCCTGAGGTAGTCGACTGCAGAGCCAGCATGCTCCGCCAAGGCGAGTGATTGTGGGTGAAAGTGAGAAAGGCTAAATGCCGTCGAGGAGCGCTTTTTGGGGCGTTTTGGAACTGTTGCATGATCATGCTACTGTGATAGCATTGCTATAGTGGTGGGTAAAATGGGAGGGACGTCAAAAACCTGGATCGAGCGTTAGTGACCAGTGTCGCTTCCTCCGCTGGGGAGGTCGTAGGGGCACACACTACCATATGTTGACAATCTCGTACTGCGTATCCTATCAAATCGTCTTCATCGAGATTCTTGCGTAATCGAAATTTGCTCTATGAAATTTTTCAGAGCGGCAAAGCTACGTGACTGGTGATTCCATACCAGGCAGGAGCAATGGGCTAGCGCACAGACTCGCACACAAACAAACCACCAAACTTTTCTGTCCTCCTCCTGCCTCTCGTCCTCACACCACCTCAAAGCAATTGCGTCTTTTCTACACTGCACCATGGACTCAATTGAGGTATACGTACAAGCGCAATTCGCCGCTCTCAAGGGTATCTACCACTTCCTTTTCAATCACGCTCATGGCTAATGTGAGGCAGCGAGAACGGAGGACAAGCAGCAAGGGCATGCAGCCGTTTCGAAAGAGCCGTCAAAGGCATCCAGCAAGTCTCCCGATCGTCAGTAAGCCCATCGAGCTAGATAGACGCCACTAACAAAGCACAGCTGCCTCCGTACACCGCATAAGCTTCGTCGGCGACTCAACGAGTGTGAAGGTCAATGCTGACCAGCTCAGTAAGTCTCTCCATTTCATGACGGTCAGGTGATTGGTACTAATGTGTCGCAGTCGATCAGTCCAAATATGAACAACCTCTCATCGAAGCCAATTTCGCTGCTCTCGAGCGTACAGCCGATCCTCCTGCGCTTGCGCAAGAGCACACAGCCGGCTCTTCTGCCACCGAGTCTGCGACCGCGGTATCCGTTCAGGCTTCCCAACGTGAGCGATACCCTGTTTTCAGGCGAATCTGAACTAACGGTGTCTAGCTCGAATGCAAGCTGGTGGTCGCCCTCCTGTCGCGGGTTTCCACGAACACGTTGAGCCTGCTGTATATCAGGCGTTTCTCGAGCGTCTGGGGGTAGTCAATGGCAAGAACTCCATTGCATTTCGAACATGGCAGGCTTACCTCAACTCGCGTTTTGGCAGCATCCCCGAGAGCATCAAGGATCTTACGTGGTGGAAGCCGGCTGACTTCCCGCTCTCTGATCTGGCCGTGCAGATTGAGCCGGCTAGATATTACTCGTCGTCGTCGTTCAGTCTCGGGCTGTGCGCGGTCACTTTCGGTTCTCTCGAGACTTGCCCTCTTGGTGCTGGCTGCCCTTGGCGTCATGCAAAGTTGACTAGTGATGAGATGGCCTGGCTAGGAGAGCTTGGGGCTAGAAGCGAGGGTTCCAGATTCAGTCGCCTCCGCAAGGAAGGAGATGGTACTCCTTGTGTTGTCGATGTCACTTTATGGGACATCTAGCACACAGCCAAACACATATGTCACTCTCGGGGTCGTCGACTCTTGTATCCTGGTTCATGAGGTTTATTATGAATCCAATGATAGTTCTCATCCACGAGTCTGCTTGACTCACTCTTTCTCTGACCATGCCCACGCCCACGCCTATGCTGATATTTATTGAAGAACTGTACAAACTCTGTCGCCTTTGCTCCCAGGAGGCCATTGCGAGCCCCTCGGTTTCCTCTCGTATCTACTGACAAGAACCTCCCCAGTCGCTTCTTCCGTCGCTCTCACCGATAACGTCCAAATCGACAGTGTCGATTTGCTACAAATACTTCTAAGATATGGCTCTTTCGCACCAACTTAAGTTTAGGGCATGCACTTAGAGAGAGAGGAGCACTGCGTAGCTCGTGTTTATCAGGGTGATGCCACCCAGCTGTGTTGATGCCCCGGCTTGCCGCCCCGCGCAGTCTCGTAATGTTTATCGATAAGCGATTGGGACGCGTCATGGGCCCGTGCCGAACGCGTCAACCAGGCAGATGACCCCAACCTCTTGCTCACATCACCAAGTACCATCATCGCTTTCATCGCAATGGGGCACCAAGCCAGACATCCTATTACGAGTACCAGTTACTCTTTATCATCGGCACACAACCACCTCATTAGCATACTGCCCTAGAGTGAAATCGACGCGTCTTGGAGCAGAATTAGTACACTGCGAAAGCACGGCATGAATAGATACCAGCACGAAGCCATAACACACTGAACAGGCGTAATGGTATGATAACACGTCGACTCAGATCTATGAAGCGATATCTAACACTTTGACAGGATTCGTGTTGTGTGCCATGGCACTTTCCGCATCCGCAACGCAGTAGGCCCCATCCCCGATGGCACCTCCTTCATATGAATAGGCGACAGCACACAACGAAAACTCTTCGCCTCAGCTCAATTCCTTCTCACCTCACCTCATTCCACCTCTAACTCATCTCATCTCATCCCGCTCTCGCCCCCACGCCATGTCGTGGCTCCAGTACAAGCACAGTTGACCGACGTCGCTGGTGAGTACTTCTCTACCCTGATGCGAGTGCATTTTAGTGACCATCACAGCCACCGTAGAGCAGCTCAAGTCAGAACAGCTCGAGTCAGAGGTTGAGAAGCTAAAAGCAAAGCTCGAGCATACGAGCATGAGCTTGCACGAAGCCGACACCGACGCCAGTCACCTCCGAGATGAAGTTTGGGAATTGAAGATCGAGCTTCGCCAGGCCAAGAACAAGCTCTCCGATCAAGAGAAGGACGAGTACAAAGCCATCATCGAATCTGCTCCCAAGCGACGTAGAGTTACTGCCTACGGTGGCGACGAAGCTCTTCGAACACCTGCAACGCCATACCAGGTAGTCTCTAGGCAGGTCTCAGAGTCCCCCGCCGCGTCCGCGGGTGCCGATGTCGCCGCCCCGCCTCAGCTGTTCGCTCGAGACTTGACTCCTCTTGTCGCACAAAGCCATCATCAACGTTAACCCTAAGTCAACGAAGCACGTCATTCACCAATACACATCGGAAGCTCCTCGCCCCCGAGTACGCCTGGAGAAGACCGTGATATCTCGACTCCTGCTCCAACCTCGGCGCTATTTGAGGGGTCGGCACGTCGTCAACCAGGGCGCCCTCGCAAGGTTCAGGGTGATGATGACAACCCTGAGATCATCCTCTTCGTCGGTTCGGCTGGACCCACATCAGATGCATACTTGCCCATTAGCCATCTCGTACAAAGCCAACAACCCCTCCTTACTAATACATTGCGGATGTACCGCGACACGGCCGGCTGGTGGGTATACATGAGAACAAGTCACAGAGAGATCTCAATGAAGGTCAAGAAGTGTCTCAACAAGTGGATGATGAACAACCGATCGCAGCCTACGGACATGACCCTTTACGCAGAGACCGCGTGCGAGTACTGTCTTCCAGCACCACTCACAAGAAGGAATTACCATAGATGAAGCAAGCTTTTAGCTTGCTTAGAATAAACATGATACCTCTGATGAATCTTTCCGCAACGTGATGACCAAGACTTTGTACACGCAGGTGTTTATCACTATCTTGCTTGACGATCTGTATACGGACATTGTCGTTGCAGACAGGCTTTGTGCGTTTAATATTTCCTACAACGAACTGTATGCCATACTGTTCAAGCGCTCAGTAGCTCTCAAGGTCAATCGACACTATCGATATGGCCTGGGTGGCACTCGAGACCGCATCACTGTTGGACACGGTAGTCCCGAACCTGGCACTCATGAGGAGTCACTCGAGCCATCGAGCTATGATAATCTTGAATAGTTGTTGGATACTATATGAGTGCCCAAATCGACACTGTCGATTTCGAGGGCATAGTAATCTCCTCCTAGAAGCCGAACGTGGAGGCTAACATCAGCACCTGGGCACTCACCTGAGGACAATACTGGTCTAGCCCAATGCAAGAGACGCGCAAGGATGCGCAACGTGGCTTGTGGGTCACCACCTGGTTGGACGAGTCAGATATCGCCCCGTCATTCCGTGTCGGTCATCACACCAGACCCACAAGGCTGCATTTCAGAAGACGGCAGTCGATGAATGACAAGCTGTGGGCAATCCTCAGCATCGTTATCGTGACACTTTAGTCGAGAGTTACACTGTCCAGACATCTCGAGTGACATCCTGGCTACAGCTGTGATAACCTTGGAAGTTTGCTCAAAGTACTCGCCTGGAAGGATCGTAACAGCGCCCGGGGTTGCCTAATAAGAGGCAAAACGCCATTGACGAAGCCACCTGATACATTATAGGAGAAGAGAGCTGCCGGAAGGGTGGCTTGATTGGTCGCGTGGGGCCACATCACAACATTTGGATGCGCTGCATGCGCAGCTTCGGGATAACTCACTTTTTCCTATGCCACATACGCGTCCATTCGTGTTTGCTACTTTCCAACCCCCACCGATCGCGATAGCAAAATGACAGGTGGTCATCACTTAGCTCTTAGGCAGCGGTGCAACGGGGCTGCATCGGCCGGGTGCGAGTGCGGGACGCTCCTTCCGCGCGCGCTGGGTTTCGGCTACTCTCCCCTACCGGAATGCGTCCCACCAGAAAAGCTTCACCGGATTTCTCAAGCACTGAGGGACCTCTATGGAATAAGAAGCGCTAAATGAGATCGCCTCTTGTTCCTATTTTCGGTCCAACTCTAATTCAACGTCGTTTCTACGACACAAGAGGCAGTATTCGAGGTATGTGTGGTATGCCGGAGCTGAAGCGTACATTAGGCATGTGAAGGTCTGAGGGTGTTCGGCTCGGCTGCAAGTAGCCCCCATGCAGCAAATTGGATTTATTTATTCACGGGTTGGAGTCTCATCGCCCTGTCGAGCCTCCTGGTCCTTGCTTGATTGCCTGCTCCCGTCAGATAAGTGACGCTTGCGGAACCTGGCCAATGTCCCTCGTCCATCATCGCTCCAAGTGAGCTCACCGAGCCTGCCTGAGTATCGATTTCGCTGTTCTTCATGTGTATTCCATGTAGATGGCATGCAAGGTTGCTGCAGCCATTTGTCGGATATGAGGGTTGTGGGTGCGGGGTATGACTGTAGCCTTCGCGCAAACGATAAGACACAGTGTGCTGCAGACTGCAAATCACTTCCAAGCGAATGATTCTGTCAAAGCGGCGTTGCTCACTCCTAGTTATGACGCGTGGCGGACGCCGATGTGTCGCAGCTGTACGTCAAGGCTGCGGCATGACTAGGCGATCCGGTTGGGTACTGCCTGCGAGACTCATAGCTACGATCCATTGGCTATGACTGTGATTGCAGTTGTAACGAGTGCTGCGCGATATCATCCTCCTTGCCTGTGGTCCATAGGTTGCGTTGCGCGAGCATCGAACGGTCAGCAGGTTCCCCACAGTGGTGCGGTCTTTCTTCGACGGTCGCTGTTGGCTCCAGTAGTCAACGTGTCAGTACACTATAGATATTTTTCATAGCGAGATAATTCGTTCCATAGTGGCTGCATGCAGATGCGAAAAGGAGAACGTGCTTACTGGTATTGTTGGAAAGGTCCCGCCAGTACACAAACCAAGAAATATCTACCGAACAGACTCCCGGTTATCGAGACGCCAACCTCAATGAAACTCATGCTCTATATATACATCGAGACAAAGGGAAAGATCGATAGCAAAACCCGTCTTGATGTCCAACAAAGAACCCTTTTACATATTTATACACGGTATCGTATAAGAACGCCAGCGAAGTTCAAGGTAGTTGGTGTGAAGGAAAAGCGATCACACTAAGCAGAAGAATGCTCGACACATTCTACGTGCTAAGTGGTTTTACATAACGAGACATCTGTCTACCAACGACGATTGATCAGCTTGTGGCGACACCAAGTCTGGGTCCTGTGATGGTAGCGGTCGTTCTGACCCTGAGCGCTGGCGATTTGGGCTCCCGGTATGGCTTGGTCGCCTTCGGTATGCATCCGGGGTCTTGGGATCGAATACAGGTGGTGGAAAAGTGCATGACGACATCAAAGGAGTTCCAGTATCGGTTGTTGAAATCATTGCTGGCACCGGCTCGATGTCCTTGAGGTCAGGTATGGTGTGGCGTCTTAACAGTGGTAAGGTCGGTGTTGTGTGGAAGCTGCCGCTCTGCCGTATTGGTCTTATGTTGTAGCTTGTTGTTTTCGCTCCAACACCCTCTGTGAATGATATCGAGCGAGCGTAACAATGATAGTGGCGTGTACTACTATCTTTATCTGGAACAGTGCTCTTTTGTGATGCGCGTGATCTTGGCGATTGTGATGTACATGGCGAGCTCGACGCATTTTTTGTTGCTTCAGCAGGAAGCCTAAGTGGGGTGCACACTTCAACTTTTGCATCGTGGGAGTCGCCTAGTTCCAAGATATTGGTCACCAGTGCAGTATCGGATACACTAGATAGTTTGAGACCAAGCATCATTTCATCTGCGCTATGTTGTTCGCGACCAGACGGCGTCGGGCTCAACCCGTCTTTGGTAGACTTGGTTATATGTTGATCCACGTGATTGATGGAAACCGTGGAGTCGCCAGTGTGGAAACGTTTTGAGTAGTCTTGAATCAGAAGCCATTTGGTGTGCTCCCACCATGTCCGTGTGTCTGTGAATCCAAAGTCATGTATTGCCTTCAGACAGAGCTTTAGAAGAGGCGAAGCGTCCACCATCTCGAGGAGCCACTCATCGATGTCGTTCATTTTCTCTACCCAACGCAAATGGCTATGTTCCTGGTGGAACCGATGGATATTATTCGTGTTGAGCAACATAAAGTTGCCGCGATTGCTCCACCGGGATGGAGATTGTTGGAATTTTGTATCTGCTTTGCGTGTCGACATCAGAGCTTGCTCTGCTAGGAAGTCGGATAGTTGCGTGCCACGGCTGTCGCCCACTTCATCACCGGAGGCTGCGAGATCCGCTATTGTTGAATCGGTGTTAGTATCACCTGTCATGGAATGGGTTGTCAATTGCAGGATTTCCAGGTTGTCTGCACTTCGACTTCGGTCCAGCGTTTCGCTTGGCACAAATCTGTTGTTCAAAACTTCCTCAACGAACCTTGTTTCTCTGCGAGAGTATTTCCACTCTAAGGTATTGTAACTGGCTTCAGCTTCATCGTATCCTGCTTCTATGAGGCCATGTCGGTCTCTTAGCGAAGACGCTTCAACGAGAGCATCCTCAATATCTTGTGGTAGATTGGCACCCATCTCATTGAGATACTGCCGTAACAGATTGAAAACGTGGCCATCCTTCGCACTCGTCTGTATATGGAGATCGCGGAGTTCCTGGCGCTTCGCGGCTAAGGAGAAGCGCGTGCCCACCAACTTGTCACGGAGATCCCGCAACGATTGCTGCTCGATATCTAGCTTCTCCGATATCGCACTCCGTGGTGCTTCCGGGACAAGAAATGAATGAGGATCGTCTGCTGTGGGCAATGGAGGAGGTGGAGGGACGTTCATCTCGGCGAATGAGATTGGCGGCGGCGGTGGAGGATAGACCATCACGGGTGGAATGCTCGGGCGAGGCTGAGCGGTATAGTCTTGACCATCACTGCGATCGCCATGCACCTCAATGACTCGAGAACTTGAAGAGATTGGAGCATCATGGTCAACTTGAGATCCATCTGGCGATACCACTGAACGCGTTGGACGTATAAGATCTGGCGAACCCGGTGTCCCGGTCCAATCCTTTGACGTCGCACTCTCAACGATAGATGCTATACTTGTTAGAACGATCCGTAGTCGTCAAAATGCCGGAGAGCAATATCCACCGGGAGCAAGTAGCTCATACTGACCAGTGGCTCGTTGTTCGCACTGCATTCCCGGAGAGACATTAGACGACGATATGCTCGAGGATGAAACTAAACTGAAAGTGATGCATCCCGGACAGCAAAACGCGGCGGCAGCGAACGTATTATCCGTTTGTAATCTCGCCGGCGCCCCTTCACCGTGCACATTCACCGATGCGCACTGATCGGCAAGGAGAGTCCCGAGGGTTGCTACTTGCTCCCGAATTGGCGGGTTCGAGCATGTGGCACATGGGCTCCATGCACTGGCTGATAACAGAATAAAAGCAGCGTTCATTCGTGAACGGGGCGGGTGCAGAAGCGTGCTAGTGGCCGCGCTAGTCATCCTCGGCACGGGCACATGGCCCATCGCCAGCCTGTGGCAGCCCGGTACTCGCGCCAACCGTCTGCACCTTCACTCTATCGCCATCTGCAGGAGGGTCGCGTCGGCATCATGTCTAATACAATAGAAGACTTCGCGTCGTCGCATGTGTTTACCATGCGGCTCTGCGCGACCCAGTCATGTGGCGGCAATATGTACATAAGCACCTGCAGCGCAGCGTTGTATTGTCTGAGTTGTCGCGCGCGGACGATGTGACACCCCTGACAGCATGGCTCAACCACCAGAACGCGAGTGGAACAACGAGTTTCAGAGATACGTGATCCCTTTTTGGGACCCGAATTACGGACGTTACTACTGGCAGCACTATGTTGAAGGCCTGTACCCGCCCTTCACTTATATGCGTAGCGGCTGACGAGGAACAGGCCAAGGTTGGACATTCTTCGATTGGGCTCCCGTCGGATGGGTTCCCGCGACGTATGCTGTACCACCATCTCAGCAGCATATGCGTATCGACTCTTTACAAGCTGTCACGGCATCTGGAGGTGGACCCGCTGGTTACGGACGTTATGGACGAGGCGAAACGGTTTACGCGACATACAATCCAACAAATCCACAACCCAGCAGCCACTATGAGACACTCGATCCATGTTAGGCTCTAGTTCTCATCACGTGTGCAATATACTGACTTGCTGTAGCTTTCTACGTCAGAGGCGGCGCTTTCTTCGAGGAAGGCAAGGTTGGTAGTAGAAATCCAAGGTGAGACGAAGATCACTGACAGATTTACAGGTCTTTTCAGTCCTCTTCACTGAACCGGCGGGCGCCAACGCCCTGAACGGGCTGAATCCAATGGCCGACTACAATACCAATCTGTCCAAGGTCAAATACGATGAATTCGTACATACCCAAGTACGGAGATTTATCGTCACGAAACGCAGACGCGAGTTCTGCTTCGCCGTGTAAGCAATTTCTTCCACAGCCCATATCGACATGGCTGATGTATAGCAGTCCGATCTTTACCTACTACGGCCAAGCCACCACGAAGAATGGAGTGGTTGCTGACGAGCATGCTATTGCCTATTCGTTGGAAAAGGAACCAGAGCTTGTACCGGGAGAGGCACCGCTTCGGAAGGCACCCATCCCTATTGTGACTGAGGAGAACAACAAGCCACTCGTTCCAGCCTCTAGGATTTACTTTGCCATCCATCATCCGATTCAATACAATGTCAAGGTAAAGAACCTCGGTCACGTACATCCCGATTACCTAGCCACATTCCTTGGATACTGGAACCAAGAGAATTCTGACTCAAAGCAAGACTCAGATGTTGCATCAAACCCCAACAATACGGGTAATTTTTGACGCGCAACGTCTTGCGAGATTGACAGCGTCTTTCTTAGGTTTGATCATGATACGTTTTGATTTTGTATTTCTTATCATAACGATTTCGCTGGAATCGCTTTGTATTAAGTGTTGGCCTTCAACCACACGATATTTCGGTTAGTCGATATTGTTTCTGCTCAAATACGCTGATTTTGCTCATATACGCTGCCTTTGAATGACGTTTTCATTAGTAACAGCTATCCGCGAATGAAATCTCCATTGATACCTCCACCATCCTTCCTTGCACTTATGTTCGTCTTGCGTACATACCACGTGCGCAGGGTCTTCATCAGACGTCTTACACAACACCGAACGCAACACATTCATTTGCGAAGTGTTGATGTGTTCCAGGCTAAGGACAGGGCCACATTCGAGGCGTAGCCATACCAAATTGGTGCCTCTTGTTTGCTACTCGGATATGCGTTTCTTCCATTGGCCAACCTGTCCCATTGAGGCTGTGGAGTGTGGCACAGCGACCGTTCAGTAAACACCAATGATGTTGCTTCAGGACGACGCCACTATATGCAATACAAGCTCACCGGTATTGGCCCCGCGTCAAGCTCAGCCTACTTGCCCCAAACTTCTTCTCTCGCATCAGCAACCACGGCGTCTTTTGACCACCAACCTTTGGGGCATGTACCATCACTATTGCACATGAAGAGCTGTGTACCAACGCGACAACGAATCTGCGCTGACAGCCCCCCGCAAACAAAAGCTACACCAATGAATGAATGCAAGGCTTGTTTAGCTACCCCCGCAACGCAGCCTTGTGACAACGCAGACTTCGCAGCAGTGCCAGAACGTACTCCGGTCTTACCCCCACTATGGAAAACAACCTTAGGGCAATCGACAACGTCACTACACTCAAGGAATCGCTCGAAACCGTTTCGCGAAGCGATGATATCTGTGTCGAAAAGAACGGTGAATACATCATCGACGATGTAGAGCGCCTCACCTTCGAATGCAAGGCGGTGCTCGGTAAAGGCGGAGATGCCGTTGTGGAAAAGGTGCAACACAGAATTACAAAAGCAATCTTTGCAAAGAAAGTAATCCAGTTTCCTCACAAGAAGTCTAAAGGCAGAGATCAGGCGAAAGGGCGATATTACAATGAGGTCGCAATCATTCGGAAGCTTAAAGCTCATCCCCACATGATTGAGCTATTTGCTACATACATGACACCCCAATCAGGTGGCTTAATTCTGTCTCCAGCTGCAGACCAAGGCGATTTGAAACAATACCTCGAACACTACGTCGATGCACTCGATGATTCCACGACAGCGCCTGCAGTCATAGCTAGGATGACTACTGTCCTGGAGAAGACCTTTGGATGTTTGTCAAGTGGACTCGCACATATGCACGCAATGGGTATCCGTCATAAAGATATTAAGCCGGCGAATATCTTGATTCACAAAGGAGCGGTTGTCTACACTGACTTCGGCGCATCGAAAGACACCCTGGAAGAGAGAGAATGTACAACAGAAGGAAGACCTGACTTCTTGACGAGAAAGTACTCTGCGCCTGAGGTACTCGAGTACGAGAAGAGGAACTTCGCTGCAGATGTATTCTCTCTGGGTTGCGTCTTTGTTGAGGTACTTCTACGCTTATGTGGCCTAACAGAACATGAGGACTTGAAGGCTGAGGGCTACTCAGGCATCATGGATGCGCTCCATACTCTTCTTCCTTCCGCAGGAATTCCATCAAAACTTTCATGTCTTCGGGAGATCATCATCGCAATGACAGCAAGGGAAGCGAAGAGTCGTCCTGATTCAGCAAAGATCGCAACAGACATCTGTTTCCATGATGGCTTGTCGTGCTTACAATGCCGAATCACCAAGGACCAAGTACAGCCGCTGCAGTCACAGCCATCAGCTCCAGGACCTCCTGCTCCAAAATCACCAGCTCCAAAAACACCAGCTCCAGAACCCCGAACTCTAGAATCGCCAACTCCAGAATCGTCAAGTTCAGGAACATCAACTCCAGATTCACTAGTCCTAGAATCACCAGAATCAGAATCACCAGAATCAGAATCACCAGAACCACCTGGACTACAACCACAACCACGACAACCAAAACTCAAACAACAACGAGCTTCACAACTGCAACCTCTCCAGTCACTCGCTCAACAACCACAGCCTCAAATTCAACAGCCAACACACAACGCACAAGCGATATCTTCTCAACTACAATTTTCACAGCCACAGCAGGTATTGCCACAGCAGTCAGATCCATTTACGTCACAAACTGCATGGAATCACCACTTCCAGAGGTATCTTCAAGCACAGTTCCATGAACAGTACCAGAGATGGTTTTGGAATCACCATGATGGTAAGACATTGGCTCAGGAAGCACACAAATTGGCTAACTATCATTAGGCCAAAGCTGGGTGTTCTTCGACTGGGTTCCTCTGGATACTGCTCCGCGGTCCCTAGTCCAGCCACAGGTCCAGCGTCAAATCCAACCTCAACCCCACCTCCAGCTTCAACCAGGTGTCAACCAGTTCTATTCAGATCTATCACCTACGCGATTTGACTCTAAGACCTTGCCAGCCAGTCGTCACCAAGGGAATCGCATATCTGGCTCATGGGACGGTACAAATGTAACGCCTGACAGTCATTATGAACGTCTTGATCCCAGCAAGTCACCATTGGACCTTTTCTCACATTGCAGAGCTAATCGTCTCAAGCCTTCTACGTTAGAGATGCGAGCTTTTTCATCGAGGGGAGGGTATGTATTCTTCCTGTGACCAAGATAATGCCTAACACGGTCAGGTTTTCTCGGTGCTCTTCAGCGAGGCAACTGGTGGAGATGCAGTGAATGTACTGCAAAAAGTCAACAACGCGACCGATTACAACGATTCTGTGTCGATAGTGAAGTATGGTGAGATGGTTCACACGCAAGTCCGGAGGTTCATTGTTGTCAAGCACAAGAGAGAGTTTTGTTTCGCTGTGTAAGTTGTGCATTCATCGTTGGGGTGCGCCGCTCTGCTGACGATGATAGGCCCATTCTCACCTACCAAGGTCAAGGCACGAAGAAGGTTGTGTCTCCAGGCAAGCACGCCATCGCTTACTCACATGGCTATGATCCCCGATTACTGCCGGACGAGCGCCCCCTTGCTAAACATGCTATATGTATCGTTATGAACAATGGCGAGAACCCTCTCGTAGCTGCGTCGAGGATCTACTTTGGAGTTCACCATCCGGTCCAGTACAACGTCAAAGTAAAGGACCTCGGTATTGTACACCAAGACTGGTTGCCAACATTCATTGGCTATTGGCACATGGAAACCCTTTCCGATACTCAGAAATCTGACGACAGCACCGAAAAGGCGGCTTAGAATGACAGCTTTTGACATGCGAACACAAACAAGACTTGGTGTACAGCAGTTCGAGTGCTTGGAAGACGTCTTTCCTAGGTTTCATAAGAATATAGTTGGCCTTTCTCTACTTAAATGACGAATTCATCAACATCAACTCGTTGCCCCTCGATCAATCGAGGTGTCGCATTCTGAAATACTGCTTCTTTGAATGAGAATTTTCTGCGATAATTGCTCGGGGATGGAATTCCTTTTAAAATCCATCGTAGCGCTTCCTGGAAGCAGCAAGCTATCTATTCAAAAGGACACGTTGAGCGGCTGAGAGTTTGTTGCACTTCAGTAGGCTTCACTGTGTAAAACTCTCAAAGCTATCACGATTAGTATGTATACCAAAGTTCAGTTTCAAAGACCTAGCTCAATCCAGGACCAGACCGCAGTCTGAGCTAAAGGCGCAATTTATTCTTTGTTACTGTGTAAAAAATGTTGGAGTATGTGGTGTGTGTTACGTGCGACGATTACTGCCCAGGAGGCCCACTTTTCGCGCGCCGACTGATGCAGCCGGGCCTCATGTGACCGCGAACGCCGAGGAACCTAGGGCGCGATTCTCGTGTGCTCTGCACAACGCGTCACCGACACACATAAGACTCGCGATTGTTTCGAAACTGAAGCGCAACCCCCTCTACCGCCTTCATGTCTCAGCGAGCCTGACTTGGCATGACGCTATGGCTCGTTCTCTGAGATACGCCCGCAATGTCGCCCCGGGGTCGTCCGCCGGTTTGGCGTAGCCGTACCATTTGCTCGCCAGGACAATCCACGCTACAAACAAGACGGCACTGTCGCTCCCATGGGGTTATTGGGGTTCCTCGATATGCGCCTACTTTACACCGTCAGATCGAGTAGGACGGCGCCTCGATATGGCCAGCGGCCCAATGTTCGTTAACGCAACTGCAGGAGACCAACACAAGGGTAGGCTGGTGGGTTGAACCTGATCTCATTTGATGGAGGTCCACTGACAGGAAGCAGATTCAGGCCGCATTCGGCGCCACTTAGATCTGCACACGTCGAATAGCCCTCTATGTCCGTCGCTCGCCAGCCCTCCGCTACGCATCCACACGCGTTTCTTCGCCGCCGCCGAGCTCGTGTATACACAATGAGGACATCTGAAGACACCCGTGGCTACGTACGATGCCCTCGTCTTGCGGTCACTGGGATATTGGTCCTGTCCCCACGTCAGCGTCTTGCCACGGGAATTGTCAACTCGCTTGTCTGAGTCACTCGTCCATGAGATTTCTGCGGAATTCTTTTGTCGAACCAATTAATAGCGAACGTTAACAGCGGGGTCGACGTCATGGATATCCTTCATCTGTGGGACATTGCATAATGGCATAGGCAATGCCTGATGCAGTTATGCTACCCTTTCGTGTCTAATATCTGGCTGACTTGACGGGGCAACAGAACAAGGGAGTAACATCGTTATATGAAGACAGAAGAGCAAATTCCACATACTGGTTCACGATCGAGGGGCCTTTCTGGTACGCTGGGTCTCGTCTCATCGACTCCAGCTTCTCATTCTACGTAATTCGCACGCGCGAAGTGTTCGATACATATCTCCAATGGTCTCACAACATTTCGTACGAACTCCGTCCTCCAATTCTTGTTTTTATCCGAAACCCCCACGTCAAAGCACCATTTTACAGCTGTGGCATAGTCGTCTCCGCCTTCTCCGCCTACACTGCTAGCCCACTTCATCGCAACTAGCACGTCCAATGCATGCTCGGCGTTGATGTCCGTGTTATGTAGATGAATCTTGCGCGTAGGCAGGTCTTCCAATCTACGACCAAAGCAAAGCTCTACGAGCAGGATACCGAGAGCATAGAAGTTACGGTCATTCACCGATGATCCGGAGGAGGAGGACTGATTTTGATCATGCGACAAGTCTTGCCGGATGAAAGGCTCCCCGTAGATAGGGTCTTGACTATCTTCCTTGCGAGGGTAAAAGATGACATCTCTCTTACCAAACCCTGTTCGCAGCCAAGGAGTGGACCGTAGTTGTCCAACCGACGAAGCGAGAAGAAATGCGATCCGGTAGCGCTGCCGCCTGGAGATGGTGCCCTCAAAGTCTTGAGAGAGGATGTGATCGAGCGTTATGGGAATGTCCCCATCAATCTCCTTGTCTTGAACGGCGGGATGAACATGGAATGCTTGCCCGTCATGGCTAACGATCCCCATGCAATCTACACGATTCGTGTCGCCTAATCGCTGGCACAGCTCCATCTTCCGACCGATGACCGAGTCGAGGACGATTTCCTGTATTTCCGGCTTGAGAGGAGTAAAGCCCACTGTCTTTCGTCTCACAGTGGATATTGATAATGATGCCCTCGGTATTGGCAAGGCTGCTGGAGTTGGCTGACGAAGAGGTGGCGCTAGAGTCGTAGGCGTCGCTACATTGTGAACGGCCGAGCAACTAGACATTTCACCGCAACTGATCCTTCTCCAGCGCCATGGAAGGGGCTCATAAGACAAAGGGGCGGTGAATGTGAGGACGATCTCAAAGTATACTTCGGCAAATGTCCGATGTTCCAGTCGCAAATTTGTAGCGTGGTGCGGCTGGCACGAACACTGCCAAGAAGTTGTCAGTGCCCTATAGAGAAGATTGGCCTTGCTTGCTATCTTCCTGAATGTACTATCCATCGATGAGATTTGCTTGGTGTATCCGGGTGTAGCATCTTGACATGCAGAGACTCTATCGCTAGAGCGTACGAGCTTTTCCAGGCGCTCGTTACATTCTTTAAGCTGGTCAACCAGTTCGTTTCGCTTTCTTTCCCCAAGGCTGAACTTCATACGGAACATTTCATATTCCAGATTTCCTCTTGGAACGGGAATTTTTGAAGCTCTTGAAAAGCCTTGAAGGCTTGGCGATTTGTTGCGACGCTGTCCTTTCTGTTCTGGTAGTGAGAGCCCGTCTTGAATGCTCTCTTTATCGAAGCGTATCTCCCTGTTGAATTCTTTTACCACATCGTTCATGTCCGTAATGATGCTCAGGTACAGCTCGTATGATTCATTCAGCCTTCCTTCCAATAGCTTTTGCAAAGCTTTGTCATCCCATCCCTGACCGCCCGGGTCTGCTACCAGTCTTGCAACCTCATCCTTATTACCGACAAGTGGTATCAGAAGTTCCTCGAGGTTCTTTGTGTACAAGACCTTGTGGAATTCAATGTCTTGTTGACATTTCTTATGGTGCTTTCGTATGTGCCAATAAAGGTTACGGACTTTCGCAACGTCGCGCCAGTGCTCGATGCCGCTTAGTAGGAGTGGAAAAGCGCCAAGAACAACACCCGCTACTTCTAGACCGCTCATATCGTTTTGGGAGTTGTACTATTAGGAATAATTGTGTGATAGATGGCAAGGTGAGAGATATGAAGCGGGAAGGCTGAGATGGAAGGAGGGGGTCGGCGGGCTGCACGGGTGGATTCCCCGCACCTTTCGCCCCCAAATTACGTCCTGCCAGCTTCCAAGCCCATGACGTCCTCACACTGAAACCAATCAGACTCGCATCTTCTCTTGCGCCTCTGAGCTATGCGCAATCTTTCTCTATGAAAGATCTAAAACAGCGAAACTGCGTGTGCGATACTCTGCACTGACATCTGTCTCGACTCTCGACCACCTCCTGCGATCCGTTCGCTTGCATCTCACTGAAGGATAAGCCATGACATCCTCGATGTCAGGGCGATGTCGCGCCTGTGTCAGAAACCTCAGAGACGTGATCTCCGCCCTATCGAAGCCAGGGTCCACCGGTGATCATGTCGAACAAGCCCAGGTTACCGAGGAGTTAGACAGATTCACTCTTTTTGTTGGGAACATAGGTGGTTTCCATGACCCTGAGTCACCTATGTCTGTCGAGTCGCGGCTACGTGAGGCAAAAGATGTGCTCAACCATATCTTTTGTCTCCTGGACGACCTGAATGAAGCTGCAGAAGAGCTTCGCCAGATTGTCTCTGGTGAAAGACAGGGTATGACATGTGTTCTCGATGAGAATGAGGATGGCAAAGACCTGAGGACCAGCGAGGAGCATGAGCTTCGAGACGAGATCAGCGCAACTATCACACGGCTCTTTAGGGTTTTATCCCTCGTACGACAGGCAGCGCCTACAGACCCTTTCGCCAAAGCTCTCAATCGAAATCGCTATCACTTCAGCGATCAGTATGACATCGCCCATGTTGGTCAAAGATATCCAAATCTTGACACGGAGGACAAAACCTGGCTTCGCCAACGTCTTGGAAGAGCTATAACAGATAGGCGGCGCTATCTCAGCTATATGAAAGATCACCGTGATAAATTGGAAAGGGAAATCGATCAAGATGAGGATGCCAAAGATGCCACGGGAAAAATGCACGCTCCTACCACAGATCAGCCACGGGACCACGACTCGAGAACAGACACCATAAGCCGCCCATCCTTCTCAACGCAGCCAACTACCATTATTCCACAACAGATCACGCTTGGTTTACTGAATACAGAAGAGCTAGACTCAGACGACGATACTCATTCGTACACAACCGTATCTCGCTCAGTCGATGGAAATGACGAGCCGTCTGATACAGTCCGTATACCAAGGCTTGAGAACCTACGTTCTGGCGACAGGAAGGAGATTGAGTGTCCCTTCTGCTTTCGAGTCAAAAAGTTCAAGAACGAAAGTGTGTGGAGACAACACGTCTTCTACGATATCCGTCCTTACGTCTGCACATTTCCAGATTGTGATGCACCTTATTTCGGGGATATCAACAAATGGTTTCAGCACGAGATGTCGTATCATCGAGTGGCGTACAAGTGTTTTCTTTGCCCGAACACGCTATGTCACCAGGAGAAAGACTATGTTGCCCATCTAAAACGGAGACATCCAAGCACGTTTGACCGTGCCGAGAGCGAACAGGCTAAGACTCTCGCTCAGGTACCGCTCACTGAAATACCAGCAGCGGACTGTCCATGCTGCACAGATTGGGTCGATCATTTGAAAGAACATGCAGGCCTTGCAGGTGGACTAATGCCTAATGAGGTCTTGACTGTGAACCCAACAGCATTCAAGCGCCATCTCGCGAAGCATTTGGAGCAACTCGCAGTTTTTGCTATTCCGACTAGCGCTACAGTTGATGATCCAGATGATTCAACCGATGCTCATGAGGTAAGGAGCTATCATACGGCTGAGTCGGAACTCTCAGATTTGAGCTTTTCCAGCGAACGTCGCCGTGATGGTACTGTGTCAGATGGCGAGAAATCCTCCGGAAGTGCACAACACACAGTCATCTCCGCTGCTGAAGATGCAAGGCCGATGCCGATTTGGAACTCGCAGTATGGGAGATATTTGCACACATCTTTCGATTCGACTTCTGGACGTCAGTTCTGGACGCATTATATAGAAGGTATTATTCTTGTGCGCAGGGTGTCTCACAGCAGGTCACTCACATAGTGCAGGCCAGGGCTGGGTTTTCTTCCAATGGTACCAAGCCGAACATCAACATGTCGATTCAGGTTCCAGCGGCGCAGCGCAAGCAAGCCCATACTTCCAAATAGGAACGGGCCAAGCTATCCAAGGCACTTATAACCACGCCCAACCAGCACCCAATAGCCATTTTGAGACGTTGGATTCCTGTACGTGCAGTGTCATACAGGATCATACAAGTGATTGACTGTTTATAGCTTTTTACGTCCGGCACGGCAAATTCTTTCAGCCTGGGAGAGTACGTTACGCAACAGCTTCTAACGGCGTCGATACTCGAGTACTAATGACGCGCTAGGTCTTCTCTGTCCTCTTCAGTGAAGGGGCTGGATCGACTGCGACCCGGTACAATGACTCTATATCCATAGTCAAGTACGGGGGGCGGGTGCATACTCAGATCAGACGCTTTATAGTAGTCCAGGCAAAGAATGGCTTCGCATACTCCGTGTGAGTGACGGATGCACAGCATTTGACGCGCCTTACTGACACACTACAGCCCCATCTTCACATACAGTAACCAGGGAACTAATAAGCCTGGAGTCGTGCCTAGCGAGCATGCTATAGCTTATTCATACGGATACCAACCAGCGCTTTTGCCCGGCGAGACCGAACTTGAGAAAGACCCAATCTGCATTATCATGAACCCAGGGGAATCCGCGCTTTCAGTTGCATCCCGGATATTCTTCGGCATTCAGCATCCGATACAGTACAATGTAAAGGTTAAAGACTTGGGTTACGTTCACCCCGACCATCTCGTCAAATTCCGAGGCTACTGGGCGATGGAACAGCAGATGGGTAGTGCACAGGATATGCAAGATATCGGCGAAGACCACGACGGAAACGATCATCCTGACACAAGCACGCAAGGTTACTCACACCCACAAACTACGCAAGATGTCGACAAAGGCGAAGTCGAGAACATCGCTTCTAAGTAAGCTACACAAGGCTATACTTGATCAGTCACTCATGTTGCGTGATATGCTCCCTGTGTCTATGAGCCTTATTATCTGTTTGTTATGCGCTACAGTCAATTTGCACGTCACGTTATCGTCGCTCTCTCACATCCTTAAATACATTGCTGTGGTGGCATAATTTCATGTGCTGATTCGTGCTATGGCAATGTACGTACCGGATGTCACGTTCATTTAGATAACAGTGCGTTCCCTTCGTGCATTACGGCAGCCGGATAGACGTGCTGAGTTCCCACTACGTAGTGACCCATCTTGACATCATCACTGGGCACTTTAAAAACCAGATACGAAGTGGCGATAACTGTTCGGTGGCTTGTCTTAGAAATTTCATTGAGATTGCTACCCCGGATTCGTAGCTTCATCTTGCGTGGGTATTCGAGAAGGAAAATGAATAGTTGCGCAAAGGTCTGCATTAATATGAAACCACAGAACCCTCAATCCACAAAGCTACATATGGTCCTAACAAGATGTAAACTGCAATTGCGTCGATGGCCAATGCCGCTTGTCACCATCGTCCAATATAGCTAGTGTCTAGCGTTTCAACCTTGGGTTGAAAGCACCTTTCCTAGAACTGTAATGGCAAATGATCTACGCCGCACCCCCAACAACACACCCCTCATTCGCATGCCAAATCAAATCCATCGCATAAACAAACAGCCTATCCTCAAAGAGCGTACGTGATGCATGCAGCCCATCAATCTCATGTTGAACCCCCATAGCCCGTCGCGCTTCAGGTAAGTTATAAACCCAGTCGGCGAACAACACATACTCCCTATGATGGCTCCGAACAGTCCTTTTGCCATTGGATAAATCCAACACGGGATCATACCAAGCACAACGCTCGCCCCGTTCGTCGAACTGGAAGTGCTGCCTACTGAATACATCTAGTTCATGTACATCTTGTTCGAGGCTACGCAGATTGTTCGAGAACATCTCATAGTCCGAGACCAGTACATTCATCGCAGGAACCAACGTGAACTCTAGCGTGAACTTGAGCTGATGAGCCTCGGTCAATGATGGTATATACTGCGCTTTGGTGCGGAGCGCGGTGAGACTCTTAACCAAAGCCATGAGAGGAGCAAAGATCTCTTCGTAGCTTAAAACAACGAAGGCGTTGTTGAGGGCTGTGTAACGGTCTGCATCCAGATCCTCATTAAGTTCCAAGGCGATGCGGGCAGCGCGCTGGGTTTTGTGGAAGGTGACGCCGGCATCCCTATAGCGATCTTCCAATGAGTTGCAAAGATTGAGAAGACTATCGGCGCGCTCAACGATTCCTTGGATACCGTTGCGGGCTTTCTTGGCCTCCTCGTCGGCTTGCTCTAGAGGTACGGGTTCGCAGTTTGGGCACATATTGGTGATATGACTGATACGTTGGGTTGGTACTCCCTGGTTAGCTGTGGTTGCAGTGGCTGCGAGGAATGATAGGATGAGATTACATCTTGTGATATAGAGACCTACAGCAGTGAGCGCTGTGAATCTTCACCCTAGAGTATACATGTAGTCTGCACAGCGTGTTAAACTTCATTCACCCACCGTCTCACCAACCCTCGACGTCAGTAACCGCCAACATAGTCCAGTACGGGTCCTTCGCAATTCCTTCGTCTTCCACCACGCCATCGACAAAAGCTTCCGTATACGCAGACTTCGACTTCACCACCCCATGCTCAATTTCCAAAAAGGTTTGTACCCACATCCGAAACATGTTGCCCTCGCGGCTGTGCTTAGCGGCCAGCGCCTCAGTTCCATCAAGATCGGAGCGCTCAGCGAGCTTCGCTACCTGTTCTTCCACCCATACCAGTCCAGCCTCTAGATTTCGGAGCGGCTTCGCCAGTTGAGAAAGTATGAGTTCACATTCAGCTTCCAGTACGCGAAATTGATCGACGTTCTCCGGAGCGGTGCCTCTTGATATTACCCATTTCTGCAAAACTGCATAGGCAGCGTCGAAGATTTCGTCCCAGGGGTGGAAGAACGGTTCTTCAGAGCGCGCGCGGCCGATTTCGAACATCTGGCTGAGGCGTGAACACACAGTCTGCTCGACTGCTTTCGAGCTACAAGTAGCGATTGAGCGTCGGAGCGCATACGGAACTTTGTGGTAGGCGATTCCAGCGACTCGAAACCGCCTTTCGTATTTGTCCAGTCTGGCGAGCCATGAGAGGGCCCGAGGCTTTGCCCAATCAAGCCAATCTTCGTATACCGCCGCAGGAGCTAGAAGCGCTGTGTTTGCGCTGTCTAGTTGCCAGCCGTACGGTAGGTTGTTGATCCACGTGTCGATTCGCTTCTTCTGGGATCGCGACAAAAGCTGGCCATATGTTTGTTTTGATGAGATAGCCATAGGTATTTGATCGTGTTTCGGGCAGGGCGGTCCCGCTCAGTCCTGTAGCACGGCTTTGGGTATCTTTGACCTTCTGGATGCCGCTTACGTAGTCGGCTGATCCGTGTCGATATTGATTGATCGCGCAAATAAGAGGAAATGGTTGAAGAGCGCGGTCGGGCGATGGGGTGAGGGGCTGCAGCCAGTGCTCGTCAGTCGCCTGTTGTTGTGATGGAAACGCATATGGCCGTTTGCACGTTGTGGTGTGTGCGCTAGTCACACTCATAGTGAATGCAGCTTTGGTCGTCGCAGCGTTTGTGGAAGCGCGGTTTACAGCGTAAGCCTAAAAGGTCTGCCGACGACAAGCTCGCGCTGCTGAATCAATTCCAACATCAAGGCTGGCCTTGAAGTATACACTATGTCTCACTTCATCCATCGTTCATATGGTGTAGCAATGTCTACTTCAGGTGTGGTGTAGAAGAGCGCGAGAGTTAAAACACACTTCGTAGAGTCAGCGCTCTTGGAACATCGCAAATACTTTGCATACTAAGCGTTCGGCAATGGAAACCCCGTTCTCTTCAAATCAGCTCCATAATAGGAGAACGTCAAAACCAAAGCTCTGCGCCAACGTTGCGCAGCTTCGATAGGAGGCATAATGAGCGCTCCATGGTTCCGATGACGTCCCGCGTTCGCGTGAGCCGCGCCCTCACGTTGCAATTCACCTAGCTGAGATGAGCTTCGTTTTGGTTACCAGTCGTTTTTGTATTCGGCGAAGATGAGGTGGCATTGTCGCGTCGCGTGTGGGTAAAAGAGGCTGGTACGGTTTTCCCCTGAGGTGGCTTGACTGATGACGTCATCGATGCGATTCATGCACGCATGTGACAGGCATGGCAGACCCGGAGCCCTCACACTTGACATACGCACTACCAGCCTGCTGCATTCACGATGTTGCTGTGATGGGAAGTAAAGCAAGCATGCAAACTTCATTAATCATCAAATATACACCAATAACTGACTACCTCGGTATGTACCCAATCCACCAGTCAAAGATCTATGCAAGACATATACAATAAGCTCAAAGGTATGTACTCATCACATCGTAAACAACCGTTCCCCTCCCTATTTCGCATCAGCAGTAGCTGCTTACTGCCCACCAACAGCGATGGTGAACAACGTCGGGCTGCCAGCGAAGATCGTGCCTGCCACGTCCTGACCACCGTCCGGAACAACATCGTCATATGGGAAAGCATACCCACGTCCATCTTTCTGCATCTGATGAACGATGCGAGAGTAGTGGTTGGTCGTCGGGTCCTTGTAGTACTGGCTCGGGTTGCTGCCGTTGGGGAACTGGTTGCCAGGCGTGTTGAGTAAGATGCTACGATTGAACGCTGCAGCAAGTCGGGGAATGACTGCATTCCGCGCTTGGTTCGACCCCGTTGAGAACGGTCCGGTGCTGCAGGTGAAGATATCCCTAGCTGATGGAGCAGCGAACTTTCCTGCCTCGCCTAGTTCGAGCTCGTTACCTTGGACACGTCCCTTGAGGTTGCCGGCTGCGGCCTGGGTGTTGATGGTCATGTCTTCGTTGCGGTACTTGTTCCAAACTGCCTGGACGTAGCCGTTCCAGTAATCTCCCCAGGCATTCTCATTGCCGACAAGCAGGTTGTTTGGGCTCAGTACGCGCAATGGCTGCCCGTTGGCCTCGTAGATCAGCTTATCCCACGGTCGACCGTCACGCTGGGCTTGCGCGCGCAACTCCTCCATGATTCTCCGGAAGCCATCGGCGCCCATACCAGGTACTGTTTGGGTCTTGCCATCGTTGCTGTTCAAGCTGAGCGCGACGGGAATGCTGACGAAGTCGACATAGCTAATGTTGGCGAACAGCTGTGCGTCGTTGTATGTGAACTCGCAGAAGGTCCAGTTGATGTTGAAGTTGGGGTCGCTGGGGTTTGTTACACTGGGCTCGACGACGGCAGGGCCGGGATTGAGAAGGAATGTAAGCTTTGCGCCGATGCTGAACCAGATACGACCACCAGCTATCTTGGGGATCCTGACATTGACCGTGTTACCAGGTCGGCCAAGTGGAATGGCGACATCGGCTTGAAGTGGCTGTTGGATATCCTTAGGGGCTACTGGATAGTAGATGGACTGGCCGTCTGCTTGCACAAAGAGAGGGGTATTGTTTCGCTCGAGGGCAAGGCCGGTGATGTAACAGTATACATTATCGGAGTTGGACTTGTTCTGCAGTGCCAACTGAAGAGTGCCAGGTGCGGCCTCAGCAAGTACTTGTTGCTGTTCGTTGTTGGCTTGTGGAGCTGCTGCACGCTTCTCATTGCCGACGTCAGCGGGAGTGGGAGCGGGTGGTGCCGGTGCCGGATTCTCCTCCTGCTTGCCCCGGTTTTGCCAGCTCTGGCGGCGCTTGTTGACGAAGCTCTTGAACGACTTCATGATAATATGGAGGATAAATTCCGGGTATAGTGATAAAGAAACGCGATGGTAGAGGTAGGTATAATGCGAGTTGCAGAAAAAAGGCAAGGAAAGCAGCGAATATCAACAATGTTGTAATTGCGCAAACCGCGAGTACGTCACACAAGATATATCCTCGTCCAGTTATAGTCAATGCACTGAACGCGCCAATGTCCTAGATTTCAAGGCG